ATATATACGCCCATATGTGAATATATTCATAGCCGCGCCGCATGCTTCGGTATATATACATGCTATGGGAATACATACATAGAGCTGTGATGTCTATGCTATTTAAAAGGTATATATACATGCACATGCGAATGCATACTACATACTACATATACTATATTTTGATACCAAGTCCATTTCTACTCACTTACATCGTATACCTGGTGTATCGTGCACATCGCTCACACTCTACAAATTCAGATACTTTGAACATTCATCGCGACCAAATTGCTCGATTGATGTTCTAAGCTCGTGGTCAATGTGTTTAGGGAGTAATTATTTGTGATCATGTGCCTTTTACAGGACACTATCGGAAGTTGTGTTTTCTCAACTAGCGGTGAATCTGTGAACCTATCGGGATATTTCTTACCTTGTGTATAGCTCTGGTTTGGAGAGCCTAGCCCTTATTCCGAGCAGCCCTACCTTAGATAATCGCTGTTCGGGTATTTATTTTGGGTACATTCTTATCGCAGGTAGCCTTATGTCGGGCTACCTCATTTAGAGTCATCCAGTTACAAGTCCAAATCACAACTACAACAACCCAGGTACTCTCTGATGTCGAATGTGGAGCAGAAGGCCGTGATTAAGCAGGAACTGGGGTTTTAAAGCATTCGTTCCCACAGTTCGCTTTTGTCGCTGTCTATATATATCAGGGCGTCTGTGCACACATAAGGATTGTGAGCAGGCTTAATAGCACACAACACATCCAGGCCGTGATACAATCCATGCGAAAGTCCGATACAACAGTCATGAGAGTGTTTAGATATTAAGGCTTCAGTTAATCTGAATGTGTAGTTCGGAGGTGCCCTCTGACCGGCTGTGTACACTCGGAAGAGCCAAAGACAACCACGCCGTACACATAGCTGGTTGTCGCGAAACCTCTAGACAGCACATATAACAACGCCCCACTTGATGCGACATTTTTGTTTTCTCACTATGGACCGACTATCGTCACCGGTTGTCTCCTGAAGCAATACAGCTCTGTGGGTTATGTATTCAGTAAAGACTACCTGTATGTCTGCTGTTGTGTAGTGTGATCTCACGGTATGATGGCTTGACGGCAGAGAAGCATCGATTTTATCATCGAACACTATCGTCGTTGCAATATGGTTATTAACATTACATAGCCTTACATAGCCGGCGCTATAGTAATCATCCGCCGGCCTAAGGGATGGTGTGGGCCGATGTACTAGTCTGTGGACGTTATAGATTCCAACAGCATACTTGCAGGCGTTGGCCATAACAATGCAACGGGTATCGTATCCGAGTATTTAAATACTACATAGTACAATAAATAATGTCCGTAATACTGCAACGAAATTTTTGACCAAGTACTCCTATGATGTTGTCAATAATTACACTACTGCAAATACTATTTCTCGCGCTATTGTGTGGTACTTTCAAGAACAGTGCTAGATGGAGCTGATACCCACAAAGTCGTACAGACCTATTTTCTACCCAGATGTGCAACGATATACGAAGCCGTTTTGACTTGCAATATACATACTCCATTGATTCTCAGAGCTACCTTATCAGATCAGTAAATTCAAGTGATAAAGTGGTGGTTAGCAGACAGCTGAAACTCCCGAACCGCTGAAATATACCATCAGTTTTAACATAGTGTCCCATCAGATATGATAGCTTTCATTAGAATTTGAAAAATTATCAAACTTTAAACGAATGCCTACATGTTTTGCTCATTAATCCAAGTTTATTTTACCGAGTACGTGAAACAGAAACGGAACCAGCATTTTGTATAATGTACATAGCCTGCATGGGGCACAAGTAAACAGCCACTAAATCATAATTATATTTTTCACAACGCATATATACCCCATACGAGATTCAGAAGGTAGTATTTCTCGGCTGTCCAAGACAATATATCCCTATCTACAACATTTTATTTACAAGTATCTACCCATCCGGAAATCTCGCGAGTTGGCTAGACAATTGCATTGCAATCCTTTCACTGATAGCTCTGGTATTCCGTCTCTCCAATACGTGAGTGCATGAAGTTCTTTTCCTTACCATATTCTACTGAGGCCTGGCCTTGGCCATACATCTTGTACTTGTAGATCATCAGACCCTCGAGGCCTACGGGTCCTCGTGCGTGTGTTCGGTTGGTGCTCACACCAATCTCTGCGCCAAAGCCATACCTGAACCCATCCGCAAACCTGGTTGAGGCATTGTGATATACTCCAGCCGAGTCTACAAGCCTCATAAACAAGTTCGCCCTCTCCTTACTTTCGGTCACAATTCCATCGGTGTGGTGTGACCCGTGTTCGTTGATGTGTTTGACAGCGTCCTGGAACGAGCTCACAATCTTGACCGCGATCACCAGGTCGAGGTGCTCGGTGTAGAAGGCTTGCTCAGTCGCTGCGGTTGCTTTACCTGTGTGTGACAGCAACGGCAGTGACTTCTCACAGGCCAGCATACTCACCCCAGCAGCAGCCAAGGCCTCCCCTACCTTTGGTAGCAAACTATCGGCTACATTCTCGTGCACAAGAAGTGTCTCAGTAGCATTACACGCCGCTGGATAGCTTGATTTGCCGTCAACAACCACACTGATCGCCTTCTGAAGATCCGCACTCTCGTCTAGGTACACCGAACAGATGCCGTCCGCATGGCCCAGCACCGGAATACGCGTGTTATTCTGCACGTGTTTGACAAGCGAATTAGACCCCCGTGGAATAACGAGATCGATGTACTTGTCCATCTCTAACAGAGCGGACACTTCCTCTCGACTGCTCACCAGTTGTACTAGGTCCTCAGGCACTCCAGGTACACGTTTGATACCCTCACGAACAGCGTTCACCAACACCTGATTGGAATGGTAAGCCTCCTTACCACCCTTTAGAATCACAGCATTACTGGATTTTAGACATAGACTCGAGATCTGGATGCAGCACTCGGGGCGTGCCTCGAATATAATGCAAATCACGCCCACTGGACAGCTTACACGGAATAAATCTAGGCCATCATCTAATCTCGTTGCAAGCGTGCACTTTCCTACTGGATCCTCAAGGGTCACCACGTCGTCCAGACCCGTCAAAAGGGTGTCATACTTGGCCCCATCACTGCCATTGAGATCCAGGCGTTTGAACAATGTGCTTGACAAGTTACCGGCCTCTACGGCGGCTTTGGCGTTCTCCAAGTCCAGCTTGTTGGCTGCAATTATATCTTCTTTGCGTTCGGAGAGGATCTTCTTGATGCTCTCAAGGGCGTCGTTCTTTTGTTCTGTGGTGCACATCTGCAGAGCCCATGAGGCCTCGCGACTACGGCGAGCGAGCGCCTCGATATCCTGTACGGCTTGACTTGTAGCTGTCATTTTTGGATAATATATAATAATCCTTTCTTTTTACTTGCTTATAATAAACGGAACTGTTGTTTACAATACCAAGTACACAGGAATTTTTAAGTGTTTAGTGTAAATAGAATTATGATAAATACATACTTTATTTCGCTCTATATTTATACACGCATTTATTTATTTTATTGTACACATTTTCACATTTTTCAAAATAATGATGGATATGGATGTCATACACACAAGATTGTCAACTGTCAAGATGTCAGGTGTCAGCACCTCTGCATGCGTTTTTTAAACGACAGGATTTACGTTTTCAGTGTCGTTCCTTAATTTTTTTTGAAAACATATCATCTGATTCCTGATATCGCAGGAAAAAGTTGTGAGAAAACGTAAAGAAAACGTATGAGCGCACGTGACTAGATATTTTTTTTGATTATCTGTATTTTTAGTAGAAAAGAAATGTATATGCCTTTTTTTTTTAAATGGAAAAAAAACGACATGCTTTTTGTCAAAGACTATCAGCTAAAAGTCTAGGTCCGGAAATCGCGAACAAACTCGCGAACACAAATGAATATCTCTAAATACAATCATAGAGACTATAGAGCCTCCTAAATTTATTTACACAATAATAAAGTCTTCATGCTCCAGTCTCTACTCTCTCTCCAGTCTCCACTCTCCAGCAGTGACTCTCCACAGTTAACCCTTAACTCTCCACAGTCCACTCTCAACTCTCCAACAGCCTATTTCACAAGCATACAGGCATAAATCCCTGGGCCTACATCCTTGCTTCGAAAGCTCATTTCGCATGACTATATCGCATAATATATTTTTTTTACGTACAATAAAGTTTGTACAGTACGTTCATACCTCGGATGACACATCATCTAGCTATCGAGAACACATCCTCTAGCTATTTCACGTCATGCCAATCATGAACAGTATCTCGAGCCTTGTAATCACGCCTTTCTTGATGGCCTCTATCGTACTGGCGTGTAGCTGCTTACCCAAGTCGAGCGAAGTACTCTACTGTCGTCCAGATGATGTCTGTGTCAAGTACTCTCAGACTGAACGTGTCGCTCAATGCTGATTTTACCATGATTATCCGTGTTGTACAAAGAGTTGAGGAACACTATAAGTCGTGAAACATTTCCCTACAGACGATCAAATTTGGAACTTCCGAACCTGTCCGAATTATATGCGACCGCGTCATGGCGCTTACGGCTGTGGAACCTATAATCTTAATATCTGGAAAACCTCACCTCGATACGGATGTCTGTGTTGCCCAACATACCATGAACCTATGAAATCGATTCAGGCGCTCAGATTAACTCAATGTCAGCAAGAACCCGATTGGACAGGCGGTGTTGGCAAGAAATCCCACTGGGAACCTAGATGGGATCTTAGAACGGTGCTAAACGGCGTTACGATGCGTCTGATTGATAGGTATTAATTGTGAGGACTTCGATTGATCTAGATGCAATTCAAGCGCTTGGCAACTGTGATGTCGATGATACACTAGTGGTTTCCCTGTATGACACGTGTATATGAGATGCGTGCACCGAGGCAACTACATATTGTATCATGATATTCTGTCCTAGTTTAGACTATCGCATTGTCAGGCGGTGAATTTTCGTTCGGATCTTGTATACTGGCAGTATACGCGAATGGGAACGCACATGTGAGCGTGAAGCATACAATGGAATGTTGGACTATATGTGCCGGTTCTTGAGTCACCATATTTGCACATTGATATGTGTACATTGCTTGAACTTGTCTGCCAGTGAAGATCATCTTTGTTTGTTACTCGCATATTATGGCGCATACTACAAAATTGCGAACTCGATACACACATCTTATCCTAGTTGACGGGTAGGCGGGAGATTGCGAGCGCCAATTAGATCCTCACATACAACCAGCCATCAGAATATGAAATAACGGTGAAACTACCTCATATTACGGCTTGTATCGTCTTGGTCTGCTTGTTTGTATTCCTTCTAGTTTTTAACTATTGTAGCAAGTCTGCTAATTATGAGTGCACTATCTCACATATATTCTGCATTATTGAATCGCATATAACAGTATTTTGTACCGTCATCAAATGTACTTCTGCATACGTAAAAATTTGCAATATATATACATATATATATATATCTATATATATGTATATATATATATATATATATCTATATATAAATATATATGTCTTATATATATATATATATACGTATATATATATATATAAATACCTATTGTAGATTTATATATCGTGATTCTGTGTGTCTGTGTGTTCCTATCTATCTATCAATCTACCAATCTATCTATATGTATGAATATATATATAGATGTATAGATACTGATATATATATATATAAATGTGTGTGTGTGTATGTGTGTGTTTGTATATGTATACGTAAGTGTATATATGTATGTATATATATATATATGTGTGTGTGTTTGATATTTGTATTGTAATTCTATAGATATATATATATACATATATGTTTATATGTTATATAAATAGATATATATACCCATATATGTATATATATATATATATGTATGTATAAATATAGATATATATATATATATATATATGTATATTTGTAGTTCTCTATACATATACACATATTTATGTATAAATACAAGTATATATATATGTATGTATATATACTAGGTTACATATATGTGTGCCTCTTTGTTGTTGTGAAAGTATTTGGAAATATGTGCATGAGGTCACTTGCCAGGATAGTAAGATTTTATTTGCTTACACGCGAATCCTCATTAGCCGCTTGCGGCATTGGGATAGGCGGTAGTGGAGCGATGCTACTGTATTGAAATACAGTTATTCTTCCAGTCAAACACCAATAGATATGAAGCTGGCCAATTACCTGACGGCAATATAATATAATATAAGCGTGTATACACTTATGTTTAGTTGCTCTTTGAATCACTTCTATACTTTTGGTGCACTCACTATATATACAGCTCCATCGCCCCGAGCTTTGTTTCTGCATGAACGTATATATTGAACATTGTTTTTATTTTTGCAATGTGTTCCTTTTGTTTTTGTTATTTATTCCTGTTTTAATAACAGAAAGCGAAAGTACATTCGAGTGTCAGCATGCATTTCACTTGGCTGTAAACTATATCTGGCTGCAATTATTTTGGCTTGTCGCCCGTGACATGGGATGGCTTGTATTTAACCTCATCGAATCGGATTGAAAGCCATACCCATCAGGTCCAACACCACGAGATAATGCGAGCGAGTGACATGTAGACAATAATAAATACTGGTCTGATGTAAGCAAGTTCAAAGTCCCATGCTTTCGAATATATGAAACCTTGAAAGCCAAGAAGTTTGATTTCTTATCGTGTCTCCGGTCCATGTGAGTATTTTTTACGTTTTATTTGCTATAGATTTTCTATGTTTAGACTATATTCGTATCCAAGTCAGCTGGCACCTCAACGACGCTTTCCACAACAGTATCGGCAGAACAGTTAGCTTCCTGATTATCATAAGTGGTGGTGGAATCCGCGTCACATCGATCGTATGTATATTCTACAACGAAGTTGGTGCCGTAGATACCTGTGATGGTAACCTCATTGTTGCCACCACCACCACTGACATTCGCATCACCTCCAGCGAGCGTCATTAGTTGCTTCACATCATCCTTACTCTTACCCACAAACGAGGCGAACTCGTCATCTTCGGGTGAAAATACGACTGTCTCGGCGGGCTCTTCGAAGTCAAAGGACATGACCTTGTTCCCCCCTGATTCGATACTATTGGTATCATCGGGGCCGGCCGCGAAAGCCTGGTTCATAATTTCTGCAAGGGTATCCGCAATGAACGAGGCTGTTTCCTTGAACAAGTGGCTGATGGACGTATCCAGTTCCACGCTGAACACCTGCGCGTCCCCACCCGTGTTCGTGATATCCACGTTTGCGTTGAGCGTCATTCCGGAGGAGAAGGACACGCTCGTCAACTCGGGGGCCACCACATCCGCATTCGCTACGTGATCGGGCAGGGTCTCGCCGCCGCGATAGAACGTGTCGATGGGTGTGAATGAGAAACTACCCAGTGTAAGACCGTTGTCAGCGTAGGTACACGTGCGCTTCCAAGTCTTGACGGAATTTGTTCCGGTGCATGGCTCGCGATCAGGGATGACGGCATACTTGCCCACCATACTGTCGTCATGACTACACCGGAGGCTCTTGCCGTTGCCAAAGTTGAATCTGGACGCGGGGCCCGGAGCCACGTCGATGGAGTAGATACCCACGACATTGCCCTGGCCACACGGCTGATCACACATCTCCTCGGTGAACGATTCCTGACACGCCTCTGTAGATATGAAGCAAAAAAAAACGTGTAAGAATCTGTAGAAAAAAATTAGCCGAGTTATAAAGCTGAAAGCCGAAAATAAGCAACAAATCAGAAGAAACAAAACCAAAATACTTACGGCATTTGGAGGCTGGACACTTCTCATCATCCGCGACAGTGTATCCGCTTCCATCTAACGATCGGATGCCTTCTCTACCGACATAAACCGCCAATGGATCGCCCTCCAAATGATCACACCAATTGCCGACACCAGAAGTCTTCCTGAAAATCATCTGCGTAACACATTGATCGTCGTTGTCAATGAGACAGATAGCGGGCTTGCCATCGACCTGGCCATCATTCCGCTGACTGAACTCACCCACACATGTACATTCACACGGACGGTATGTTGGCTCAATCGGGCAACCGCCCAGGTAGCCGGAGGGCTGAGCCTCCATAAGAGTCTTGTAGGTGGTTTCGATGTCGCCATTGAAAGTGTCCCTGGCGCTGCATCTGCAGTCTGAGTCAGTTTCTTCCCATTCACACTCACGTACCGGTTGGAGCTTACACTTGGAATTGCAAAACATAGTGCCGCCCTCGAAGTACCTATCGTCCGCAGGGTCGGAAGACCATGGACGATCGCACTCTTCGCCTTGAAGCGGGTCGACCACGCCATCTCCACAATAACTGCTGACGATTTTGCAGCCCACGCAAGTTTCTTTGCTGTTGAGTGAACCGTCCTCGGGACCTATATCGCACTCTTCGTTAGGATCGTTGATTCCGTTATAGCAAATACATTCACATTCGCCTTCATTCAAGCCCTCGGCGACTCCAGCTGAGAAAGTCAGCTCGTAGCCGTAGTTGTCAAGGCAGATCGGATTACCGTACATCGAGGCATCAGCTGTTTGCACATACGTTGAGTACATAATCTTTGTATCACAATCACACAGAGGTACACGCTTGGTTGTGCAATCTGCTATGGGTTCTAACTCACATGTAACTAAGCAGTAAGCCTTCCCTTCGTCGGCAGCCAAGAGGCCTCCACGCTCTCCAGCAACGTACTCACATTCCTCGTTATCTGTGATGGCGCCGTCTCCGCAGACTGTTTGCTCAACTGTACAAGGTGAACCACTTGCGGGCTCATCCGTAGTCTTGCGACAACGAGAATTGGCAGGGGGTGGATAGACGCCAAAATCGTCCTCGACGTTGCTACCCTCGATCGTGTAGTCGCATTCTTCAGCTCCCCACTTAACACCATCGCCACACGTGTTCTCCTCAAGCGTACACGCATCAGAGCAGTGGTGTGTTTCACTGGTACCGGCGAGGTAATCACACTCTTCGCCAAGTTCAAGGTTCAAAACACCATCACCACATTTGGCTGCTGCTGCCCAGTCTTCGTTGCGTGGAGAATCTAAGCAATAATCGTTATGGTCCTCAAAAGTCTCCCTCTCAGCTGCCACCGGGGTAGGGCACCAATTGTACTTGTATCGGATACGGAAGGATCCTCCAGCCAGGTTATTGACCACAAATTTCATACCAAATCCACCAACAGTTGTTGATGCTTTACCTATAAGGGTGACCGGTTGAGTACTACCTGCGGGACCTGAGAACATGTCGAAGTTAAGTTCATCGACGATTCCTTTCTGGTCATCGTTCGCGTAATACCCACCGGCTTGACTTGATAGAACCAACTGACCACCAGGTGAGATAAGGTGTACTTCCTCTTTCTTGGGTGAAACAGACTCGGAGAGAACTCCAGCGATCTCAAATTCGAGTGATGCGGCGAACACGGTGCTAGCCACAATATCGCCTGAGGTACCGGCGGCACGGGCATCGTCGATCGTCATATCACCAGTGACTTGACCTACAAGATGATAGTCGATGCTGCTGATAGGCACCGCCACAAGGGAAGAGTCATACTTGGGTAAATCAAGAGTATAGGTGAAATCTGTGGGTTGAAAGTGGGAATTTGTCATGCATACTCGTTGCCAAGATGCTAAGGCTGTGCACTCAGTGATAACACAGATGTCAGAGTCACATTGCTTGGTAGCATCCAAGAAGTCGAACTCGGGTACACCGCTTTCAGTGCCGCTGGCGGATCCTTTGGGTACAATCCACTTGTCAATTTCTTCCATATACTCACATTCTTCGGTCTTATCAAGAAGACCATCGTTGCAAGTACCGCAACAGTTAGAGCAGACGTTGTCAATACACTCTACGTCACCAGTAGTGTGGTCCTTGCGGCCATCACAAGAGGCAAACTCTGAACAAAGTTTCGGTACACAGCATTCATTACAACTATTGTCAACACACGCCTGCTCCGGGTCCGGTATGAACTGCCCGACGGGACAAGAACCGTCTTCGATACTTGAACAGTATTTGATAAGCTCATACACAAATGTGATTGTTCTGTCCTGATTAGGCTTTTTCTTGGTGGTTCCGTCTACTGTGCCGTCGCCGCCCTGTTCTTCAATAAGTCTGTATGCGGGATCCACATTAAGAACCTCAATTTTATAATTTGTTTCTCCAGTTGGAATTTTAAAGATGTTTTCGGAGTCCTTCGATGTGAATGATTCTTCGGCGTTCGCGGTGTTGGTTACGATAACCTGACCAACTAGTGGGTTACCCTCGGCGTCTTCTTGTCTTACGGTGATCACTGATTTGGGAATTTTGTTTTCCAAATATTCATTGTGCAGCTCGGTTGTTAAACAACATGTATCCACATTACACCCACCTGTGCACTGCTGCTGATCTAATTCTTCGGTATTGTGATAACCATCTCCAGGGCACTGGTAAGTATTGCAAAGTCGGATAATAGAGCCCATTGATCTGGGTACAAGGTTGCCTTGACGCTTACGGGCGCAGCAAATACTATCACCGTCAGCCATACTTTGTGCCGAAGCACATGCCACTATGGCACAGATTAAGCTTACTTGAATGACCTTCATTCTGTTTCCGATTCCGCTTACAGAGCGTGAAAATGTGTTGAAGCTTAACAGATTGAACTAGGACGCACTGAGAATTTTCTTTTTATATATCTTTTTTTAAATTTTTTTTTTAAAAGAGACTACTTTTATTGCATTCTTCTTCCTGTGTGTGAGAGAAGAAGTTAGAAGGCTAAATATGTATTTGTTTTTTTTTGGTTTTTACAAAAACTATAGTAAAATCCCCCGCTTCAAGAACCTACCTTTTTTTATTGCCCATCCCCTATTAAAAATAATCCGGGCAGGCATACTGAATACTGATTCTATAAAAATGACCAAATATTTCATTTCTTCCCATTATAGTGGGCTATGTTCTTCTCTGTATTTTTGTTTTGCCTATATATTTTGAAAAAAAACAAATTGTAGTGCAGGCTATCTACTGGTCTATGTTGTAAAGTTAAGCTTAACAAATGAAAATGCATCTGACTCTTTTGTATCACCTCCTGTTATTAATTTAAAAACTAAAATAAGAATAAACTACAAAGAACCGTTGTTTTTATGTTAAGTAGAGTACCTATTTTAAAATGTTTTGAGATATGAACTCTTCAAATTCCTTTTAGTTTTCAAATACTTTTTTATTTTTATAAAAAAACAAATATTAAAAAATGCAATAAACATCTTTACATCGAAACAAAAAAACAACTGGGACTATTTTTTCTATAAATAACAAAGAACCCAGAAAACGAAAATCCTGTTAAATACCAATCTTACAGCAGGGGATTGATACTTAATCAGGAATTGGATTGAAGAAAGTCATAAATAGTACCAATCGAAAGAGGGTATAAATACGAGCTCATGGATGCTTCTATGCATAGGTAAATATAATGATTGTCTATAACTATGTACGTGGTTAACCTTTCTTTTGAACAAAGATAGCTACAGTATTACTCCAAATAAATTACCTGCACTGTATTATTCTTTACTCTCCAATTGGTTGATATATGATTCACCGGCTTAAATCATCTACTTTAGTATTGTTTCGTTCATAAGACCCAAGTCGTACTCTGCAAAAGTATATTTTCACAATCTGCAGTTGATTGGCTGTACCCCTAATAATGAATATGGGCACTGCCACTGCAAATTGTATAGTATTTTTTACTCCTGCATGGTATTTCAGCCTGTAAAAGCCGGGCCTCCACATTAGAATCTTGAAATATAAACGTACTCTTAATAGTACGTAAAACGTACTCTAAAAAGTATGTAAACTCTTAAATGGGGTTTAACGGTTAATTTTACATATCAGATATTTGGACAAGGCCGTTAAAAGGCCCCAGTAAAATATCAAATATAAGATTTGGTCTAGTTCTATTAATAGAACTATATTAACCTTCCAAATCTATTCATATCTGAATACTTCGGTAGCGAGATGGCTCAACCGTACATAGGTTTCTAAGGACTATTGGCGTTGCTTAGTTTATCCTCCGTTCAGCCAACCAGATGTGCCAGTATAATGAATAAGTGGCAAGTTATTGGTTAATGCAATAACTATGGACATCAAGAGTTATTTTTTCTTTTTTTCTTTTCTTTTTTACTAAAGATAGTATTTTATGAGTCTCTCGGATTCGCCCCAACGAAACATACCATAGTTTCGAAAAGAGCGACAACGAATCACTAAATAAAATCCCTTCGGCGAAAACACTACTGAGAGGATTATATATAGGCAATGTCTCAGCCTCACAATCCCTCAGAGTATTGCTGTTTTCACGAGGCAAACCTAACTTTACTAAAAATGACTAATTACGTTTTTTAATTTCACCCGAGCTTTAGAAGAATTTATTGCGTTTAACTACTCTAAGACGTTAATATCGCCTTAAGAGACCGAGATTTACCCATTTTAAAGTTAGTAAAAGTATTAACTACTTAGGGTGGTTCTTAACGAGGAGTTTTCAATAAATCCGTTTAATTAAAGGTATTTTTCAACCAATGAGAACACATAATTTTTGTTTTTCGAAAATTCATTAAACAACAAGGTGCTCAGAATTTGTTGTTAAAGGCTAACGAAAAACGAGAATACGTACCGTTAAAGTACGTTTGTCGACTGTGACGTAGAATAAGTAAAAACATTTCATTGGTAGAATGGAAAACCGCCCTTTTACAAATGTGGTGTCAAATGTTGTGTGTTTTCACTGTTTTGAGCGCTCAATTCAATTGTGCACACACATATATATGAAGTTGTCGGTTATAGGTAGATCCACACTCAATTATCTATGGAAACAGTACAGAGGGAACATAGTCGAATACGAACATAAAACGAAGAACATGAAGGAATCATGTTGCACAAGTGTTATTGACTCGCAAACTATACCATGTCGGCATCGCAACAGCAGGCTAATGCAGCATCGAACCCGAATACTATGGGGACGCAGCACACAGCATCGACTTCCTCAGGGATTGAAACCAATCTTATGCAGAATGCTAGTACATCGCCGTCGAATCAATCGATGGCGATCACTTCTCAAGCGTCTTCGAGCTCTTCAGGTACTTCATCGGATTCGCAAGGAAAGACAGATTTTCAAGGAGAGACAAAGAGTGTAACGAGGCACACACAGCAGTCAAATTATTCAGCATGGCTTCGTGAATCGACGTACAAAGAACACATACGAATGGAAGAAATGCTAGGTCTTACCGTTAGAGGAGTACCTGTCAAACGTGATGCAGCAGGCGAAATTATGTATTCACGAGAGCATGTTTATGATGTACATTACAAAAAGGGTTTTAGCGTCCAGTCCAAACAGCGAATAATTCAGACGTTGTATGATAATAATAGAGCGACAACTGGCTCTCCTAATCGGCTCTCGACCCCTCTAAACATAACACCAAAGAAGAAGCACAAAGTAATGAAGAAGGACAAGCGAGAAATTCCAGTAAAACAGAAGGATGAGGCGATGACGCTTCGGAAGACTGACAATGCAATTGCACGATTCTGTCCAATTATTACGGATGAGAAACACTACGACGGGCTTGTATCACTAGAAGAGGGTGATACACGAGCTATGCTTGACAATAAGGCTACTGGAGACAGTATCGTATTTTGGGTAGATGTAACTCAAGACTTTATGAATCCCAATTATGCATGGAACATGACAAACAAAATAATTCTAAGTGATGGTGAAGCCGATATAAGCGATTCTGACAGCGATGACGATAATGTTGACGATGCTAGTCTGCGAGCACGAGTTACTAAGCACGCTGACAAGTTAGCTGAACGGCGTAGAAAGAAGTCACCGTATCCAGCCTCTCCTCCACTCGAACAGTGGAAAAGGGACTGGGATGTCCTGAATGCTACCTACAAGAGCATGGTTGAGCGAATAGGACAAGTCGATCATATGGATATGACATTTACAACACAGGCGCGAAAGATGTTTGTAGACATTATTTGCAAGACAGCCGTGAGAAACAGACTAATCGCTTGATGGAAAGATGCCAAATCTAGCTTTGCGATTGTGCAAATGTAAACTTCGATGGAAATTACTAGGTTTCAAACTATATTGAACTAAAATACAATTTAGTCAGTTAGGATTTAGCAGTGGTAGCTTGTGTAAGAATGATCGGGACTGCCTCTTGTAAAGAGCCTAAATATCCTCGATCACACAGGGCGTACCTCTAGCTGTTCTTTATTGAATAATTTTCACTAGAAGTACTAAGTGTTCATGACCACATGCCTAATTTGTAGATAGACATAATAACGTATGTCACGTTAATACATTAGCTGATATAAATAAAGTTCCATCTGAAGAAAAGTTAAAAAAAGAAAAATACTTATTGGATTTTGGAGATTGGCGGGAGGACCAAAATCTATAAGGAGTAGTTCGGAGATTATAAAATTTAGTTTATAATATCCTACATCTACTAATGTCTCAAATAGGTCCAAGTAGATGAGTCATACCAAATACTCAGGCTTTTGGAGCCATCAAAGTGAATTTAGAACACTTTGGAAATATTGGAAAAAAGAGCTTGTATTAATTTTTTTAAAAC